CTTTCAGAGTGTGTGTGTGTGTGTGTGTGTGTGGGGGTGGGTGCGTGCGTGCGTGTGCACCTCTCGGACCCCAGTCTGGTTGCGATACCGGCAGTTCCGAGTTCTGATGGGCTGACGTCGTCCGATATCTGATGCGAACGACATTCTTCTGCCTTCTTGAGGGCGCCTCCGCTCAGGCGGATCCGTTTGTGATCTGGGTTTTTAGCTGTTATTTTTTGGTTTTTCTCTTGGCGTCTTCTGGGTCTTCTGCCTGCTCTTGGCAGTTTCTGCCTCCTGGGCCTGATCTGTACCTCTCTGTACCAAATCTAGTTGTGTTTCCTCGGACTCAAAGTTTCGGGAAGTGAGTGGCCTTGGAAGGGGGATTCTGTGGTGCTAAGCTGTCGCTGTCAGGTCCGGGCCTCGGCCGAGGAGGCGGCGAAGCTGGCAGCCGACACCTCCAAGATGGTCGTCGAGACGGAAAGCCAGGGCCTCACGCGCGTGCCTCTGCGACTGAAGACGATGTTTTCATAAAGATGATCTATAGACCTATAGACGATGGCACCATGAAGACAGCAATGCTGTGCCTGTGTCGTTGATGATGTTCAGCATTGCGCAGCAGTCTCAATGGCCGCCACCACCGGTGCTGTTGCTGCAGCTGCTGATGGTACGGTGACGGTGTTCCTGCGCATGTGGTTGATGCTGATGCTTCTCGACAATGACGACCGCGCTCATGATTCATGAGCAAGACACAGTGGTGAAATTTGTGGTGATGGTAACGAGGTTGATTTGATTTGGGTAATGATGGAGAGTTTGAAGGCAAGTAGGGACATGATTGCAATGATCGCGACCAGTGGCGTATACTTCTGAGGCCTGAAGCAGCTCGCCGGGGAGCTCGGAGAGATTCCGAGAGCGACGGCGGTGCGACCGCGCGGCTCAGGAGCAGGCTTTGTCCGAGAAGACTTCAGAGATCTCCCAGGTCCACAAAGAGCCGATGGGGCAACAAAGGTGGGGCCCCCACGAAGATATATGCCCAGGTCAAGGAGGAGCTGGTGTCCATGAAGGAGGCTTCCTCCAAGCAGCAGGAGGGCACTTCGCGAGCTGAAAGTGGTGAAAAAGACTCGGCGGACCTCCGCCGGGGAACACTGAGAGGAGCAGCTCCAGGATGCGGAAAGCCGGGACCTGAAGGGGGGGGGCTTTGAGCTCTTTGGGGGGGGGGGGAAAGCGCTTGGCTGCCTAGGAGCTGACCAGCAGCCGAGCGTGGAGCATTGCATAGGGCCTGTTGAAAGGTCGGTATCAGAACTTGCTGAAGAGCACGGCCATGCAGCAAGCTCCTTAAAAGAGAGACCCCGCGACGCTCTCTAAGAAGCGCAGCCTCTGCGGCTCGCTTTGCGGAGGTCCATCGGCGGCTTGCCGGGTGCTGCAGGCGCCCAGCCCAAGGCAGCGGCCAAGGCGCCGGCAGCCAGGCAGCGGCGGGGCGGAGCGGGGGGAGAGGGGTGAAGGATTAGGGCGGGGGGAAGTGAAGGGGAGGGAAGGGGGGATTAGGGCCCGCGCTTCTCTCCCTCATTTTTGTGTGCAGAGGCGACAAGGCGGTCAGCGGAACGTCTTCATCCAATTGGCGGGGGCCCAGTCTTCCGGCAAGACGTCTTTGCCAGGGCCTCGGATGCGCGGATATGCGGATGCGCGGATGTGGCCAAACCAAAAGAAGTGCAGAAGCCTCGTGCGCTCGCAGGTTGGAGACTCTCATCGCCGAGCACGTCTGCGCCCAAGCTGCCCCGTCTCACTTTCCCTGTATTCAAAACGGAGAATCCCTCCAAGGACCCACAGCAGTTGCCAAAGTTCAACGAGCAGAAGTCCAATTTCATGGCGCACCACCAGATTCAGGCCTTGCCCAGTACGGACTGGGTTGGTGGTCAAGATCAAACCGCCGGGCCATCGCTGGTGCAGACTGCGATAATACTGAGGTTCAGGAAAGTCTTCCTTGATCAGCATGCAGCATGCAGGATTATGACGAGGATTGAACTTATAGCCTGTAGGACCTCAGAGCTTGAGGCGCGAAGCGACTGCAAACCGGAAACGCAGAGCATTGGTAGAAGTCATCAGTGGGAACATCACCTCTTCCAACGCTATTCACATTCCCAGCGCAGGCGGCTGTGCATTTGTTAGCGGAATTTCAGCCGAAGACTTCCAGAGGCTAAGGCACGTGAATCCAAGATTCACCGCGAAGACCCACCAATAATCTTGAAATCTGGGATCTTTTAAACATCCGGCATACATCTTGTCACGTTTGCACCGGCCTGTACCAGACGATGTGGTGATGAGGTGGAACACATAATTTCCTGCACATGGATGGCTTGGAAAATATCCTGGAGATAGAAGATCGGTAGATGCGTGTTCGGAGACCATGATGGAAGCTTCTCGCGCCTCTGTCAGGTGGGAGACAAGCCCGTCAAGATGTTGGACTGCTCGGGCAATTCACGTGTTGCTCTGCAGCATGCAGAAACTGATGTAACGAACATTGGAAATCGTGAGCAAGGTTGCGCGTTGTGCCAAGTCCGAGGCAGCACATTTGGTCAAGGAGCGCTTTGCCCGCTCCACGTGGGTCTTCATCGTCTATGACCTGCCGACGTCCTAGTAGAAAGCCAGTGTCGAGGCAGATTCAAGGCAGATCCAAAGGCAGTGCATGCGGACAAAGGTCGAAGAAGGAGTCCTTGGAGCATGCTCTCGCTCTGACACAAGAGGTCGGGG